ACCTCCGCGACACCGCGCCCGCGCGCGCGGTCGACGCACAGCCTCTATGGAGGACTAATGGCTCTGGCTCCGCCGGACGGAATTCGATGATTGATCTTTATTAATTAATTTCCTACGGGTGCACCTAGATGTACGTTGATCACTACACTGGCGTGGCGCGCAAGCACCCGCCCGCAGGCTTTGACGCGTCTGTAAACGTAGGGGGCATCGCTGGCCTGGGGGTCGCAGGCGTCAGCGAGACATTCAACGCCTGGCCATCTTTTCGACCCCACGCTCACCGCACACTCGCCACGCGTCATACTCACACCTCGTACCTCTCTCGTAGCCTCCCGGCGTCCCAACAAGTCCCCCCCCCCCCAAAAGCCCCGCTTTTACGACCCCTTTTCGCTCCGCCCACGCCATCCCAAAAAAAAAGTTCCCCACGACCGCGATCGCGCCCGTCCGCCCCCGGGGGGAGGCGTCACCCCCCGAAGCGCGGTCGTCGTCGCCCCGGGGGGCGGCGGTGGCCCGCCGGCGGCGTGGTCCGCGGCGGGCACCTCGACGACGGCGAAGAGCGACTCGCTCTTGCGCGGCGCGGCCGGCGGCCGGCGCGCCGGGACCCGCTCCGCTACGTCTTCGAGTCCTCGGTGCACGCCAAGCGCATGGAAGCCCGGCCTCCCACCTCGCGGCCCGCCGGCGGCGTGGTCCGCGTCGGGCACCTCGACGACGGCGAAGAGCGACTCGCTCTTGCGCGGCGCGGCCGGCGGCCGGCGCGCCGGGACCCGCTCCGCTACGTCTTCGAGTCCTCGGTGCACGCCAAGCGCATGGAAGCCCGGCCTCCCACCTCGCGCCCGCCGGCGGCGTGGTCCGCGGCGGGCACCTCGACGACGGCGAAGAGCGACTCGCTCTTGCGCGGCGCGGCCGGCGGCCGGCGCGCCGGGACCCGCTCCGCTACGTCTTCGAGTCCTCGGTGCACGCCAAGCGCATGCAAGCCCGGCCTCCCACCTCGCGGCCCGCCGGCGGCGTGGTCCGCGGCGGGCACCTCGACGACGGCGAAGAGCGACTCGGCGCGGCCGGCGGCCGGCGCGCCGGGACCCGCTCCGCTACGTCTTCGAGTCCTCGGTGCACGCCAAGCGCATGCAAGCCCGGCCTCCCACCTCGCGGCCCGCCGGCGGCGTGGTCCGCGGCGGGCACCTCGACGACGCGGAAGAGCGACTCGCTCTTCCGTGGCGCGTCCGGCGGCCGGCCTCCCGGCCGTCGGCGGACGTGCCTGAAAGGTCTTCAACCCCTGATTCGCGCGCCTCGTCTGTCGATCGTCGCCGCGGAACCGCGTCGATTCCCCCGCAGGCACCCGCAGACTCAACCATGCACGTCATCGTCCGCGCGCTCTTGCTTCCCTGGATCGTCACCTTCGCCGCGGCGGCGGGGGTCGTCAAGCTGAACACGAAGGCCGACCCGGTCGAGGCCGTGGTCGAGGTCTTCAAGCACCTCCATCCGGCGGCCTCATCGGCCGCGCTCGCCGTCGCGAAGAACGGGGTCGCGTCGGTGCTCAAGGGCCTCGAGGCGTCCGACACGAGCACCGAGAACGTCGCGTTCGAGGACGAGAACGAGCGCCGGCGCGCCGCGGCCGAGCAGTCCGAGCGGCGCGGCGCGTGCTCCGACATCACGAGCCGCGAGGTGTGCAAGAACGCCGCGAACAAGGCCGACTGCTCCTGGAGCAAGAGCCGCGAGAAGTGCAAGAACAAGCGCAAGAAGTGCGCCGAGGTCAAGAACAAGAAGACGTGCCACAAGAAGAAGTACGCGAACATCTGCGCGTGGAGCTTCAAGAAGGAGAAGTGCCGGAACGCCAAGTGCGAGGAGATCGACGACGAGCGCGACTGCATGTCCGAGGGCGCGCGGAAGAGGGGCTGCAAGTGGAAGAACAACCAGAAGCGCTGCATCGTCGACAAGGACGCCGGCGGCGGGGGGTCGGACGCCTTCACCGAGTCGACGTCGACGAGCGCGTTCGCGGGGGCCTCGTGCGCCGCCCAGGAGCAGCAAATCGTCGCGTTGAACGCGAACATCACGAACCTCAGCGCCGAGCTCGAGACCAAGGACGTCGAGCTCGAGACCAGCGCCGACGCGCTCGCGGACGCGATCGAGAAGCAGGAGACCTGCGAGGCCACGGTGCAATCGCTCGAGGAGGCGAACGCCTCCGGGGAGGGCTGCCCGACGCCCGCGCCGACGCCCGAGCCGACGCCCGCGCCGACGCCCGCGCCGTCGGTCTCTCCGACGCCCGCGCCGACGACGCCCGCGCCGACGGTCACTCCGACGCCCGCGCCGACGACCGCGCCGACGCCCGCGGTGTGGGTTCAGCGCGGCGACGACATCGACGGCGAGGCCGCGGACGACTGGTCGGGCGCCTCGGTGTCGCTGAGCGCGGACGGCACGGCGCTGGCCGTCGGGGCGTCCGGAAACGACGGCGCCGGCTCCTACGCGGGCCACGCGCGCGTGTTCGCGTGGAACTCCGACGACGACACGTGGATTCAGCGCGGCGACGACATCGACGGCGAGGCCGCGGACGACAACTCGGGCGCCTCGGTGTCGCTCAGCGCGGACGGCACGACGCTGGCCGTCGGGGCGTCCGGAAACGACGGCGCCGGCTCCAGCGCGGGCCACGCGCGCGTGTTCGCGTGGAACTCCGTCGACGAGACGTGGATTCAGCGCGGCGACGACATCGACGGCGAGGCCGCGTACGACTACTCGGGCTCCTCGGTGTCGCTCAGCGCGGACGGCACGACGCTGGCCGTCGGGGCGTACACGAACGGCGACGACGACCTCGGCTCCATCGCGGGCCACGCGCGCGTGTTCGCGTGGGACCCCGTCGACGAGACGTGGGTTCAGCGCGGCGTCGACATCGACGGCGAGTTCGTGTCGCTGAGCGCGGACGGCACGACGCTGGCCGTCGGGGCGCCCTACAACGGCGGCGCCGGCTACGAAGCGGGCCACGCGCGCGTGTTCGCGTGGGACTCCGTCGACGAGACGTGGAAGCAGCGCGGCGACGACATCGACGCCGAGGCCGCGGGCGACTGGTCGGGCTGGTCGGTATCGCTGAGCGCGGACGGCGCGACGCTGGCCGTCGGGGCGATCTACAACGACGGCGGCGGCTCCGACGCGGGCCACGCGCGCGTGTTCGCGTGGGACTCCGTCGACGAGACGTGGGTTCAGCGCGGCGACGACATCGACGGCGAGGCCGCGGGCGACGACTCGGGCTACTCGGTGTCGCTGAGCGCGGACGGCACGGCGCTGGCCGTCGGGGCGCCCAGGAACGGCGGCGCCGGCTCCAACGCGGGCCACGCGCGCGTGTTCGCGTGGGACCCCGTCGACGAGACCTGGAAGCAGCGCGGCGACGACATCGACGGCGAGGCCGCGGACGACTGGTCGGGCAGGTCGGTGTCGCTCAGCGCGGACGGCGCGGCGCTGGCCGTCGCG